AAATCCAGGGGCCTGCTAGGCCCATTGTCTAAGGGCGGGATTCTTTCTGTTGAATTTCTCTAATACCTTGGGGATGACTCAACAGCTGTGTTCTTAACACAGAGGAAGTTCCTGTGTTGATAACTAAGGCCAGATGAAGGGTATAGTATGGTACTTAAGAGTCCTCTTGGGACACAGAGACCATATCAAACACACGGCTGGGTCTCTGCAGGGCCTCTCCACTTGACACAGATATAAATGGCATTTTTCCTTTATGTTGGCTTAGGGCCCAGGGCAAATTTGGTGTCAGTAGTGAGTGTTAAGTGGCTGAGTCTGTTTTAAGAAGGCTTGGAAATACAGCAACTCATTTGTGGACAACCCGATTGTCTGCTTGGGAAATCTATGATAACTTCTGAGCATCGTCAGACCTCAGAAGTGGCTGGATATGAGACCAGCATGTGCCCTAAGTAAAAAGTTGTGTTGACCAAAAAGCAGTCATCCTAAGGTAATTAGTAGAAGGGAGGAGCCTTTTGTGATAGCTGCTAAGTGTTAGATCTGTAATGGAACGTGCAAGCCATTTGGAGGAAAGTCCTTGCCTGGTTCTGGGGCTCACAGTCTCAGAAGTCCAAGTACATGGTTAAGCCATGGCAATTCAAATGGTGTGAATGGTGTAGAAACAGCAAACAAAAGCATATATAGTATGGAAGTTTATCTATGTGTATGTGTATAAGGAGATAATTCAAATTATAATAAAAGCCATTTTTTTTAATTAAAACATTACTATTGTATGCATAGGTACCTATGCCATGATGTAAATGGGAAGGTCAGAGGACACTTTTATCTTGGCTCTGGAGATTGAATTTACTTCACCAAGATTCACAGCAAGCACCTTTACCAACACTGACCCATTCTCTCTCAGGACAGTGTTGTGTAAACAGACTTCTACTCACCCAGACAGGTGACTGATAACCGACTAAAGGACAGATACCAGAAAAACCAGTTTGGACTTGATGAGTTTATTGGGGTTACTTACAGGACTATGGATGAAGGGTTACTAACAGGAGCAGAAATAAACAAAGCTCTGTCTCCAAAGCTCACCCCAGCACAGGTGACAGTTCACAAACGCTAGAAACCTGCAACACCCTGTACAGCCTGTAGGCAGCTGACGGGTTAGAGAGGGTCCTTTCCAGGTGGCTCATTTGGTCTGCGCCTCTTCTAGGATGCTTAGCCAGTCTTTACTTTCAGGCAGTTTTGCTGGTCTCTCTCTCCTCCTTCCAGGCAATCTAAATTGACTCTCAGCAGTCTTTACCATTTATATACTGCCCATGGCCATGTCAGAGGAGCCTGCAGATAGCAACTGACTTCTGGGTGTCAGCCCACCAGGAGGAAAATCCCTGATGCGTGAATCTCGGATAGGCAAGGCTCCAAGACCACAGACCCCAGAGTGTTTTTTGCTTCTGCTGTGCTTTTACATGTTTGCTGCTGCTATCTTTCTCTGGTATCTGGCTTGGTGTGAATGGTGTGGGGAGATCCCCACTGCCTGTAATGCAGTGTGTTTATCTCATGGAAACATCTCATTCTACTGGGCATTTTTATCTGTGGATTATTATGAAGATGATTCCTTCCTGAGCTCCTACTGTCTTATTGATAATAATAATGTTAGCTTAAATAGAGTTTTGATGATAAAAAATAAAACAAGAAAGTGTCACACAGCTAGAACACATGAGTTTCTATTGAGGAGCAGTGTGGACTGTGGCTTAGGTTAATGATTAAGAAAAACAATTGAGCCTGGCGGTGGTGGCGAACACCTTTAATCCCACCACCCAGGAGGTAGAGGCAGGCAGATCTCTGTGAGTTCAAGGCCAGCCTGGTCTACAGAACTAGCCAGGACTGTTACACAGAGAAACTCTGTCTTGAAAAACCAAAAAAAAAAAAAAAAAAAAAAAAAAAAGAAAGAAAAAAGAAAGAAAAGAAAAGAAAGAAAAACAATTCAGTCCCAGTAGCCTAGCTAGTTTAAATTCTAATCTTAATGTTGGGAGATGTGTTCACAGGTTTGGGGTGCAACATAGCTGAAACATGTTTCATCATGTTAAGGGATATGGAAAACATGCTGTTTTTTACTTGTATTCGTTGCAATCATTCACTTGAGAAACAGTGTAGCCACACTGTAATTTTTATATTGCCTGAAAGATTTTGCTGGGGTATATAAACTCTAAGAGAAGAAATAAAGATAGAGTTAAAATGGGTTGGAAGGAAAACATCAAGAATGAGAGAGTTAGAAGGAACTAGAAGGGAAACATCAAGAATAAAGATAGAGTTAGAAGGAAAACATCAAGAATGAGAGATGGAAATCACCAGGAAAATAAAGAATAGAAAATGCAAAAGAAGAACAAAGAAAAGGTCTGAAGGAAACCATCAAGAGAGTATGTGAGTGCCTTTTTCCCTTAACCCCCTCAGACAGAAAAGTCTTAGTAAGTGCCCAACTCGGTGGATTCCCTCTGAGCCCTGTGCTCCCGGGGGCCCGGCCCCCCAGGCAGTGAAAATATACTCTTGGGAAGGAGGGGCCTAGTGAATCTGGTCAGTTTCAGGGACTTCCTGAAGCTTTTTTGAGTAGTTCATTTCCTGTCTCAAAGAGCTTCCCTGAAGTATTTCACTGGCACAGCCATGTCTGAATGGAATGGCAGAAGTCATAAAGCCAGCACAGCTGCTTGACAAAGATCCAGCAAAGCTGAGTCACATCATGGCCGCTGTGCCACCTTTGATTTTCATCTCTACCCGTTGCATACTTGGGAGACTTTTAATATTTGCACAATTTGGGGATATTGGATTGATGGAAAATTTCGTATGAATCATTTATGCCTTCTCCCAGGAGTTCTGCTTCCAAACTTCCCCAGGAAAGTCCTGAACATACTGCCCCTCCCACTTTTAGGGAAATATCCTTATCTACTTGAAGGTCTTCCTTATGCCTTGGAGGTTGTGACACACATAAAGAAGCCAGGCTATGAGATATTATTGAAACATCTGTCCCTGTGCTTACTCAGGAACAAGATATTCAAAACAAAGTAAACTTAAAAAGGCCAACAAGACTTGGTGGGCTAGAGGAGTTGGCCACAGATCACATTGCAAGCCCCTTCCCACTGTACACTCAGGCAATTATGTGGCATCCACAGCAACAAAGTTAGATTAGCTGAAGTTACTCAGCCCTACACAGAGACTTATATTGATGAACAAAGAATGGAGTGGAAAGATGATAAAAGAATGAGATGTCAGGACCTCCCTTTCTTGGAAGAGTTAGTACATGCAGAGCCACTGTGGTGTCATATAACCAAGGAACAACAGAATGCCAGGATTAGACATAGAGACAAATTCTATAAAGATATAAAATGAAAACAGTGCATTATGCCACAATTTGAATAACAACTGCAGCAGCTTTGGCCTGAGGATTTTTCCTGGGCACTCTGACCATTACGAGTTAATAATACACTGCTTGGGACATGGCAATGTGCCCGGGTTGGTTTGGAGATTTTGTTTTGGTCTAATGTCCTTGTACCTACAAAAGCTACCAGCCTGAGACCAGGCTGTCATCTGCCTCTAGATTCTTAAAAATTGGATTTTATAGGGTTAATGAGTAAAAATGATAACTCTGTTTATTAATGATGTCAAAACTTTAGGGAAAATTATTGGAATGATAACTCTGTTCTGTCATAATTTATTAATGATGACTAAAAGATGAGCAAGAGGAAGAGAAACACATGTCCAAAACCAAAAATGATATGATCTATGTTTTGGAACAACATGAATGTATCTCTGCTTATTAAATTCCGTATAAATACAGAAACACTCTGGCTGCTAGTTAGTCAGGCTGCAAGATTCTCATCACCACCATGTCCTGGCTCACTCGGTCTCCCACCAACTCCTTACATCCTCTGCTGGGACCCCTCCGTGAATGGCTCCTAGCATTTCACCTCCCATTAGGATGTCCTGTTGTTCCACTTGGGAGGCAGAGGCAGGTGGATCTCTGTGAGTTCGAAGCCAGCCTGGTCTCCAAAGCAAGTTCCGGGACAGTCTAGGCTGCTACATAGAGAAACCCTGTCTCAAAAAAACCAACCAACCAAACAAAAGGAATCCTGCTTTCAGCTTCATCAGAGTGGATTTCTGAAAAGAATTTCTTAGCCTGCGACTCACCCAACATGGAATTGTGTTGTGTGTCCAGTTACTACTACCCCAATGCCACTGACAGGATCTCTTTGAATTAACCCAGGTTGTTCTCCAGCTAATGGGCTCAATCCTCCCCGCTTCAGCTTCCCTGGTAGTTGGGACTGTAGGCATGTCTCCACCACAATCGGTTGGAAGGTGAAATTTGAAATCATTCACCCCTGCATCTGCCAAAGCAGTATTTTGAAACAGGCTGAGTATACTGGAGAAAAATTGTTGACATTGAATTTTGCTTTGACATGTGAGCGCCAGTTGGAGCATTTGATAAATCGTGAGCACGTTACAGTTTCGAGACTGTTGGAGAGACTCTGACGTGGGCAGAAAAGGTGCGTGGGTGCCCTGCCGTTAGGTGCGCGTTTATTACATTTTAGCTATTTTTCAGTCATGCAAAGTTTTTGAAAAGGGTTCACGCAAATGATTTTTGCACATAGCCGTAGTGGAAAATCCGTCCAGTACAGGCCTAGGTGAAGGGACTCTAGCCAGCTGGTCATAGGGACACTGGGGAGGAGGGTGTGTACCTGTGTGCATGGTAGTTCAAGGACAATAAACTCTTTTGGAGCAGAGACACAGTTCTTTGTAAACGTTGTGGAGTCAAGCTTTGCTAAGGAGACTACTGGGCGGTGGTCCCCGGGGAGGAGATAAAGAGCGCCTGCAGCAGGAGGCCAAGAACGAACCGGAGAAAGCCCCCAGGGAGGTGGCAGGGGCGGGGCTGTCCCAAGGGAGCTCGAGGTGGAGAGGTGGTGGCCGTGGGGGTGAGGGGGTAGAGGGCGACAGGGTGGCAGACGCTGTACCAGCTGAGCGGGAGCATGGAGGCTGAGGCCGCCCCCAGAGCCACAGGTAAGGGGTACCCCGCGCCCCGGGTAGCCAAGCGAGAGCGAAGGACGCGCGGCGGCCGGGGACACTAGCCTGCAGGGAGTGCGGGGCACACCTGTCGTCACGGCAGCTTGCGGTGTGGAGCGGGGCTGAAGGTCTCCCCGCTTCCTCGGGATCATTTAAATCCCGGGCCAGCGGGAGCTGGAGGAGGAACCTCCAGAGTTGAAGGGTACCAGGCCAGGTCTCGCTGGGCTGGGTACCCTCTGGGCTGCTCCCCACCCCCAACACCGGCCTTGGGACTTTGGATCTGGGCTTGCTGGCTTGGCTGGGGAGAGAGCTCCGAGGGGCTAGATTCCCGGTGGCCGTCTGGGAAATGGGAACCTCCACAGTGGGGAGAATTCCGCACAGCAGCTCGCCCCCATTTCTCAGGTTGGGGCCCGGGCTGAGAGGAGAAGTGTCGCTGGAGCCCACGCTCGGTGCCAGCCTCTTTCTAGGCTCCAGGCCCACGGCCCACATGCCTCTTCCTGCCCCGCGAGCTTTCAGGGAGCCTGGATTTGAGGACACATCCCTGAGCCGGCCACCTCTCTGAGGTCTCAGGTGATGATGCCATTCCAGGCCTTCTTGCTAGGCATCCTGGTCACAGGTGGCTGTCCCTGTCCCACAGGCAGTCACATCGCACACAGGCCACCTTCTCTACAGCTCAGTAAAGTAATATCATGTAGGGGCACCTCGGCATTTTATCGGAAGCCGGTGGCAGCGCCGGAAGCCACTGGCTTTTTATTTTTTTTTTTTTTAATTTTTCGAGACAGGGTTTCTCTGTGTAGCTTTGCGCCTTTCCTGGATCTCGCTCTGTAGACCAGGCTGGCCTTGAACTCACAGCAATCCACCTGGCTCTGCCTCCCGAGTGCTGGGATTAAAGGCGTGCGCCGCTGCCACCGCCACCCGGCTTTTGTGACCTGCACTAAACGCTGCTGCGGTTGAGTTTTTCTTCTGTTTTCAGGAGGGCTAGATAAGGAGAGAATGTAGCCGCTAGGTAATTAATTATATGGGTTGGTAAAGTTTTAGTTGATCTAGAGATTCAGAAAAGGTTTGTCTTTGATTTTTGGAAAGGGAGATACTTCTCTTTTGTTTTAGCTTGGTACGTTTTTCTAGAAAGTTAGTGTTAAAGGCTTGGATGGTGAGTGCTGTTTTCAGTTTACGTGTTGGAAAACTAAAGGGGGGGGGGGAGTCTTGCTTTTTGATCTTACCTTCCTCATATACAAAACAGCAGAAGCCCCCTGGGGCTTAGGAAGCACAGCAGTCTCTCATTACCCCGCCCAGCTCTACTTGTCCGCCTCCCTGCCCTCGGGGAAGAGAAGTGAGCTCCAATCTGAGGGCCTCCCGGCTCCTGCTTCAGAGATCTGCCTTCCCAGCCCTACTGCATTTTAACAGGAAAAAAAATAATAATAATTTCATCTTCTGGAAAAGTATAGTTGGCCTAAACCAGATTCTGGCTTTTCCTCTACTCACTTCGAACTCTGCTGTGGTTTTGATGGTCACCGACGGCTCAGATGACACACTGCAGTCTCACATTTATCCTTTCCACATGGGTTAGGTCCTAATGGGCTGGAGGCTTGCATAGTTGAACCGCTGCCTGAGCTTTGATGGCTGTTTCCAGAAACAGCTTGAGCAAATCTCGTCGACGGGGGAATCCCTTTCTTTTAGGAGAGAAGCATGAAAGGAAAAATTATGCTTTCAGGTAAGGCCACATGCCAGCCTCCACTTAGCTTCGCGGCTGAAAAATGAGGAGGGACATGTGACATTCCCATGGCAGCTGTGCTCTGTGTTTGCGTGAGGGTTTGGCTTGGGGGCAGTACCGTCCAAAGGGGATTTGGGGGTACCCCACAATAATTTACATCCCGACATGCCCTAACCCCCCACCCCCACCCCCATATCCATTCCCTCCTCCCCTCTCTCTGCATGTTTTTAATTTCCCTGATGCCAAAACCTTCTTAGGTTCCACTGAACCATCTGTTGTCATTTTAGCTCAGAATAGAGCAGAAAGAAAAGGGGAAGCCAGACACAGCCTGGTCCTGCTACCACCCTCATCTTTTACCGTGAACTTCTTCCCTGTCTATGAACTAAGGACTGAGCTGCCTTAGAAGGAGTAGTTGAGCCCCTGTGTACATGGGACTTCACTGTTGGGCCTGGTGTCATATTAGTAGTGAGCACAGAGAAAGCCATTTATTTTGGCTTTTGAAAAGTTGGATTTTCTGATAATTGGTGCTGCTGCTAATAAAGCCGAGAGGATAATGAAGCATAAATAATAATAATATCTAAGCATGTTAAAATAATAAAGCAGAGAGGGTTGACAGATAACGGAGCTGGGAAGCAAGCTGGAATGATTCAGGAGCTCGTGTCGTGTGTACGGCCTGCTGCAGAAGGGACAAGAGTGTCAGGGGACAGGAGAGAAAAAGTGAGTGGGACCTTGGTGTGGAGGCCTTCCAGTGTCCTTTTTAAAGTACTGAGTATGCCAAAGGCTATGTCTTAGGGTTTCTATTGCTGTGAACAGACATCATGACCATGGCAACTTTTATAAGAAAAATATTTAATTGGGGCTTGCTTACAGTTTCAGAGGTTCAGTCCATTATCACCATGGCAGACAGACATGGCGGTGTGCAGGCAGACATGGTGCTGGCTACATCTTGATCAGAAGGGCACAGGAAGTGGCTGTGACACCAAGCGAGAGAAGCTTAAGCGACCTCAAAGCCCGCCCCCCACAGTGACAAGCTTTCTCCAACAAGACCACACCTACTTCAACAAGGCCACACTTTCCAATAGTGCCACTCCCTGTGAGCTTATGGGGGGCAAATACATTCAAACTACCACAGGCCATATGTTGGGTTATCATTTCTGAGCCCTCCAGAGACCCTAAGGAGCAGTAGCAGGAAGTGAAGAAGCAGTGGACAGAGTCTAATGCTGAGGGACCCGAGGTAGCAGGTGCTACCTTAGGTGAAGGTCTCTCTTTCGCCATGCCACACTCAGGGATTGAACTCAGGTCACCAGTTTTTAAGGAAACTGCTCTTACCTGCTGAGCCATCCCACTGGCCTGTATATCCCCCCCTTGCCATTATTATTATTATTATTATTATTATTATTATTATTATTATTATTATTATTATTGTGCATTCACTTTTAGGAGCACTTTACGTCAGGTTTTGTCCTGAGCCCTTCCCAGACATTGCCTTCACACCAGATAGACGGTATGATTACATACAGGGGAGGAGACTGAGGCCCGGAGATGGACTAGGCTTACCTGGCCCCTCAGTGGCAACACAGGGCATTGACATGGAGGTTTCTGGCAGGGCTGGGGATATGGCTGAGATCGGAGCTCTTTCCTACCATGGCTGAGGCCCGGCATTCTACTCCTAGGACTGTGAGCAGCCAGCCAGGACGACGTAAGCCAGTGGCCATTGGATTTCCTCAGAGAGTGGAAAATTTCCCCTCCAGCTGAGAAAGAGAGGAGGTCCAAGTTGCTGGGAGAGTCCGTTCATTAAAGGTGTTTTAGAGATGACCTCATGTCAACACAAACTGAACTCACGCCAGTCACTAACTTGGATCTTCTGTGGCGACTATGTGTCCTTGGAGGGGGATGTGGATTTGGCAGGTTTGGGATCTTAGTTTCTGGGAAACGGGACCTCGCCGAGGACAGGCTGGAGAGGGGCTTTGCTCTCAGCTGCCCTGGAGCGCCTCACCGGGCTTTCCGGTGAGAAAGGACAGGGAGCGGGTGAAAGTGGAGGGCGGTATCTAAAAGTCTACTTGGCTGTGGGCATTGTCCTTTGGGAAACAGGGTCTCTGGGAAAGCAGGAGCCCTGTGGATCGTTGGGCTTAGTAACCTGAGCTCCCTGAAGGGGAATGGAGGAACCAGTTCCTCTTAGGTGCCCTCGCTGGCTCTGCATCTAGGAAGGATTGCTGGGAGGGAATCTCTCAATCAGGTAGGTATATCAGGCTTGCTGTGTTTTGGGCAGAGTGCCCTGGTCAGGGCTCAGGGCAACCTGATCACTAGAAGAGCCAGGTTCTCCCAGTGGCTGAATATCTGTGGACCTCTCCTTTCTGTGATTCCTGGTGCACCGTGGTATCTATACTATATCCAGTTCTTGCTCACTCACCACTAGACTGCATTAAATGGACTGACATGTCATGAGGCCTGGGCAGTAGATGGCTAGGCTCCCAATCCCCGTCTAAGTGTCTTGTTGTGGACTTGTCAGATGGGGTGAATGACCAAGTGGCCAGGACGCACACTGAGCAGTGGGACAGAAGGCCAGCTGGCCTTCACTAGCTCCTGGCTCCGCTAAGGTTACTTGTTGCGCAGCCCTTGGAAGTTCTACCTGAAGAATTGTAGAAAATGGATGTGCCTTGTGGTAGAGGAAAAGGGGTTAGTGGGGAAAATTGAAGCCCTCCGTCACAGGGCATCCTGCCTTGTAGGGTTAGTGCAGTCTTTCAGTGACTGCTGGGCCTCAGAGCACAGTTAACCAGGATGGGACAGTTGTGATTTTCAAATGCGACGCACACCTGTAATCTCAGCACCCTCTAGGCTGGAGCAGGAGAATTAGAAGGTCAAGGTAGCCTGGGCTGCATAGTATGACTCTGTCTCAGAAAAACACAAAACAAAACAAAACAAAACAAAACAAAAAAACTATCCTGGCTGGGCAGTGGTGGTGCACACCTTTAATCCCAGCACTCAGGAGGCAGAGGCAGGCAGATCTGTGAGTTCGAGGCCAGCCAGGTCTACAGAGTGAGTTCCAGGACAGCCAAGGCTACACAGAGAAACCCTGTCTTGAAAAACAAAACAAAACAAAACCTAGACTGTCTACATGGCTCATTCCTGTCCAGAGTTAGTGATCAGCTAGCTTGGATGAGGGACCCCAAGCCTTGGGAATTTAAGGCCAATTAAGGTCTGTTATTCTGTCCCTACCCCTGCCATTCTTCTGTCCCTCTCTCTAGTCTCCCGAACCCTCTCACATTAAAACCATTGCATCCAGTCA